TCCTTTGGTGCCCGCCTTCTCTATCTTGGTAAATAACTTTATACCCTGAAACAGAACCACCATGTGTTCCTTTTTTATTTGAATATGTTTCAACAATTGCAGCTGCTGACATGATGAGACAATCATCATCGTCTGATGAAGAATCTTCTAATTCTCTTTGCAACAGAAATTTTCTCAGCAGCCATGATTGAACCGACCTTGCGAGGCAGCTTGCAAGCTGTGACTGCCGTGGCCGGCTGGGACCTGCTCGCGGCTGGTTACGAAGGTAGAGGCGTGGTGGCTACTACCTGGCTGGAAGCGTGCCTACGAGACTACGACCTGGCTGGAAGCATGGCGGCGGCGGCTGGGATCGTGTGCGGCGCTCGGCAAAGGCAGGAGAAGACGCACGACAAAACGACACAACAAGCCGGGAAAAAAATAATGTGGGCTTCAAATTTGATTTTTTAGATGCCATTTATTAAAAACTCTTGGAGATGACTATCTTTTTCTCTTTCAATATCTTTTTAGGAGTTGCCAAACTATAAGTTTTTAGAAAAAAAAAATTAGGAGACTCTTGGCCCCCAAGATCTTTGGATCCAATTCGGACTAGATTCCGGACATGTGAGAATCAACTCATCACATGCTTACTCCGTCCATTTGATAAGAATATATCAAAGTTTTTTATAAATTTAGTAAAATCAATAGTAGCACTTATATCTTTAAATAGATTTATCATAAAATATTTCAGTGTTAATCTATTAATATTTATTACACATTACAAATATAATATTTTATTTATTTGGTTAAAATCGAGGCCAATTTATAACTTATTAAAAAGTTAGAGTAATACTGTACTAGTATTTGTCGTTGACGAAGGTAGTATATCCCATCTTTGCAGTTGCAACATGTCTATTTTGGTCTTCGGATGGCTTTGGCGTTTGATCATATCATATGCTGTTTTTCACCTAACCGCTGTTGCTTGCAATTTGCACGCACGGTGGAGCAGTAGTAGATGTACAACTGCCGCTCATCCGCGGGGGCCGCCGCGGCCCGCGCCGACAGGCCTGCCGGAAGTCGCTCACCTGACACTGCGCGGGACAAAGGCGGTGCCCAAGTCTAGAAGTTCGGAGCCCAACAGCCGGGGCCCGCCGGGACTGCGCCCTTGAGCCTTGAGGCCTGGGCTGGGCATCGGGTTTGTGGCACCATCTGGACCACGTGGACCAAGCGTGTGCAACGAGCGCTGACGCGTCTCGTGCCTTTTTCCACTTGGGCCTTGATCCAAATCTTTTCCTCTCTCAATCATTTTTGGAATGACTTTGCGTGGTATTAAATATGGGTACCTAATTACACGGGGAGTTGAAAATCACGGAATCTTTTGAGCCTAGTTGGTCCACGATTGCGACAATATTTACCAAATAAGTTTACTATTCATCGGCTACTTCAATCTAAACAAGGCCTTGATCCAAATCTCGCCATTTCAAAATTCCCGGTAGACCTCGGGGAGGGGAAAGGCGTCGTCGTTTACCGCGGCTACTACCGCCTGGTACCGCGCTGTTGTTTTCCCGGGTTCGGGACTTTGGGGCTTCAGCAGATGCGCCGCCGTTGGACCGTCACCGCGGCAGGTTGTGTAGTTTGTTTGACACGACTACAACGATGCTTATCTTATCTCGCGGCAAAGGCAAAGCACCAGCTTTACTCAACGCGACAACGCCTATAGCCCTATACAGTACGTACGACTCGTCAACAATGTTCCGTGCGCATTATACTACGTTATCATCGATCGAGTTACTACTAAATACACATCCAAATCCAATCTGAATCCGTTGCGTTCCCGCGTCTCGCTTGTGGCCCTGGCGACTGACGGCGAGCGGACGGCGGATCGGATCGAATCAACCCGCCCCAGCTGGTGGCCCCACACCACCCCGCCATGGCCGGCGCGTTGGCGAGCGCGAGCGTGAGCGTGGGGGAGCTCTCCCACCACGCGAGGGCGACGCGAAAGCGAGCGCCGACATCTCTAGGCTCTCTCGATCAGCCCCCACTTGGCCACTTCATAAAACCAAGCTGCTGCTGCTACCACCAGCCCGGTCGTCTCCGGTCTCCATCCACCCGCCGCTGCCGCTATCAGCACGCGTGTAGGTGAAGTACGCCGAGGCCGGCCGAGCCGTGTACTAGCGAGGAATCAATCACCAGAGAGAGAGAGAGAGAGAGAGAGAGAGAGAGATGTCACCGCAGCAGCAGCAGGCGGCCATAGTCGGGGAGGAGTACTGCGAGGGCGAGGACAGGGAGCTGACGGTGCGGAAGACGACGCTCTTCACCCCGGGGGACGGGCTGGAGGCGTACGACCACCGGAATGGCGCGCTGGCGTTCCGCGTCGAGACGTACGGCCGCGGCGGGGCGTGCGGGGGCGGCGCCGCCAGGGGGGACCTCGCGCTGCTGGGCGCCAGGGGTGAGCCCGTCCTCACGGTGCGCCGCCGCCGCCCCAGCCTGCACAACCGCTGGGACGGCTTCCTGGGCGACGGCGCCGCGCACGGACAGAAGCCCGTCTTCTCCGCGCGCCGCTCCTCCATCCTCGGCGCCGCCGCCGTCCTCGTCGACCTCCTCGCGCCCGGCGTCGTCGCCGGGGAGTTCCGCGTCGACGGGTCCTTCCCGCGCCGCTGCTGCCGCGTCGTCGCCTCCGCCAAGGCCTGGACCGCGCCGGACCGCGAGGGGGAGGAGGAGGAGGAGGACGTGGTGGTGGCCGAGGTGAGGCGGAAGGTGGACGAGGACGCGCACGTCATGATGGGCCGGGACGTCTTCGTGCTCTGGGTGCGCGCGGGGTTCGACGCCGCCTTCGCCATGGGGATCGTGCTCGTGCTCGACCGGATCACCGGGGACGACGTCGACGGCGACCTGGGAGAGGACCTCCTCGAGGCCGCCACCTCGCCGGCGTAAGCCACGCCGGACGGATCGACCTCCCGCTTGCGTGCTCCGCGTGGCATAGTATAATCCACAAACAATTTTCTGATGGTTCTTCTTCGTCGTCAGAGTTTGGATCTTTGGCTTGTGAATTGAGCTCGTTGTACTTTACCTTTGAGCATGATGTGAATTACTGTGTTATCTTCTCAATTCGGTGCTTCTTTTTCCTTCCACTACCTGAGTTGCCTTCATCAGAGGGTCCCGTTGTTTTCGGAGTAAAAAACGTGGAGTTCCTGTGTGTGGCAGTGAAGTGAAGCTGCCTCTTTCAAGCCGAGAAAATGGACGTCATATACGTGGGTGGCAATGCACGGACTGCGGCTGGGCAGCGACAAAAATCTCTTTCCCTTTCGGTATAAACAGCTGTGGAGACAGGACAAATTGACACTCCAGAGGCTGCATTGATTTTTCTGTTTGGTACAATAGCGACATATCCAAACTAACCAAAATGCAGGCGATGCTAATCACTAACGTATCAGAGGCGACGTCAGATCTCATCGGCCGCACGGGTGACAGGTTTGCGAATAAGGCCTTTGTTTAGTTGCTCCATCTAAAGTTTATTCTCTGTCCTATCAAATATTTATACACATTTATCTTTATAACTAAAATATATGGATTGTCAATATCTACTTGGCAGGACCAAAACACTCATGAGATCCATATCAGGCAGGCAAATAATCACCGCATCTCATGCGATCCATATCCGGCAGACAAATAATCACCGTATGGAGACACTGGAAGGCAAGTAAATAAAATGAAATATCACCACGCAATGATTATGATCGTGATCCAAATCTCGTTTGTCGTCCTTCGCATTGCGTGTTGACAACAAATACTTTTTTTTTCCAAAAAATGAATTATTGCCATGCCTCATACGGGCTAGGATATTGTAAGTCCGAGTATACATGTTTTGGTAAGGCAGAGCATTGATAAATTCAATTCGATGCCTAACAATAAATTTTTAGCCTTTAAGGCAACTGATGTTTATCGTAACTTTCAGACAACAGGCTCCAAGCCTAGTTTTTATTTCAGATTCATTACGATAATGAATGTATTTCTAGACATTATCATGGTATAATACACATGAAAAATTGAATTGATATATTCTTAATTTTAACTTGGCTAACAAACATCTCATTCAATTTATGTTGTACCCGTTGCAACGCACAGGCACTCATCTAGTGGAATATTAAATATAGACAAAAATAACTAATTGCACAGTCTGCAACTAATTTACAAGACGAATCTTTTAAGCCTAGTTAGTCCATAATTTGACAATGTGGTGATACAGTAACATATGTGCTAATGATGGATTAATTAGACTTAATAAATTTGTCTCGCGAATTACTGACGGATTCTGTAATTTGTTTTTTTATTAGTATCCGAACACCCCATGCAACATCCCCCATATGACACCCGATATGACACCCCAAAACTTTATACCCTGAATTTAAAAAGGCCTAAAAATGGAAGAACTAATAGATATAAACAGATTCTCCCAAAGAATGTCCAGCCTTTTCCATCACAAATAAACCACATTTGACGTTGACACGAGTCCACAATATGACATCGACCATAAATATATATTTGTAATATACATTCTATAACCCTAATGAAGCTGTGATGTAATGGAAGTATCTGTGGAGCAGTTCTACTCATCATCTTATCAGCAAATGTTTGCACAGCATCTATCTAAGAAAATATTTGACATCAAAGGTACATCGACCATAAATATCTATTTGTATATTTTGTAAACTTTATGAAGTTTTTATGAAGCAGTGGAAGTATCTTTGGTGCGGTCCTACACATACCATCTTATCAGCAAAGGTTTGTTCAACATCTAACCCAAAAAAAAAAGATCATAACAATAAATAATAAAGGGCATGCATCTCGTGCATCCCAACTATACACCTTTTGAATGCCAGCATGTACAAACAAGAAGATTCTGCTGGCATGTCCGGAACACACACTGTCAAGAAAGAAAACTGGGGGAAGCCCCTTCTATGTCCACGGAAAGAATCAAATTGAATTGCCAGTCTATGTTAAGTGAGAGTTGTGTCTTTCATAACCTAAGAGCCACCACTACTGTTGATTCCAAAGTAGATGGTCTTGCGATTAAATGCATTCATAGCGTAGTCGACACGGATCTGACCTAGGTCAGTGTTGAAGTGAAGCCCATATCCAAATCCAATACCAAATCCTGGTTTCCCTTGCCGCAGAGCTGGATTACCTGCAGTTATGTGTGAATAATTGTTCATGTTACTGATACTACTGAAAAAATGATCTCCATAAGAACATAGAAACACTGCATCTGATGTAAAGAAATCTCGAGGTGTTGAAAACTATATTTTCCATAACTAGAGATGAATATGCAATCATCAATTATCGATCATGTGTTGTTGTTGTGTTTCTCTTAAGTATTATCATACTGCACACTGATGTCTATCATGCAAATTATTGATTGTCTTTCTCCGTTCTATATGATATGTTATCTAGGCGTTTACACAAAAGCCCCTGCTAGAGATTGCATCCCATATAGCAGGGCAGAGTAATTTATTTCAGCTTCTGGTGAATTACAAACTTAGCAATCCCTGGTCTGAATTATGGATGTTTACAAGATTCAATAAAGCTTCCATTGTTTTTCTAAAAAATGAAACTAATTGCACTTAGCTTAAGAAATTATGATGTTACTTTCTTGTGAAGTATTCAATTAAGTAATGAACCTCAAGTCTATTTTTGAAACTAATAGAAATCAGTGAACTAGTATGTGCAGAGGACACAACACCCTTACCAGGGACATGACGACCAGATCCTAAGTCACTGCCACAGTCCATGAAAATAGAACCCTCCAGATGCTTCACCTTCACAGAAACATGTCTCAATACTTTGCGGTTATGCCAAACAAATATCACTGTTCTGGATACTAGGGATTTATTGGACAGCACAAAGATAAACAGAATATCAAAGATTCATAATAAACTGATGTTGGTGAGACATTTCCATGGAAAGTTCTTAGTGATTGCCGATTTCTTGAAAAAAATCATGATTGGTGATATCAAAATTCTTAGTGATGCTGTTTCTTGAAAATTCTTAGACACTTCCATGGAAAATTCTTAGTGATATCAAAGATTCTCAACACTAGTTTTCATAAAATGCAGGAGCTAGATTGGTAATGCTGATTCCTTGAAAATTGTACTGATCATTGTTTCTCTCCAACTAGAGACTGATTACTGATTTCTGGTTAACTGCAAATTTTGCAATCACAGATCTCGCTTAAAGGATTCAAGAAAACTTCCAAGTTTTTTTTTTTAAAAAAAAACTGAACATGAACATATCTTAAACTGTGTGACCAGTGGAGTTGTGGGTGGCTGCAACTACCACCATAACTTAAAAAATTGTTTCACATTCAACAAAATCATCAAAGAAAAAACTCCAGTGCAAGGGGCAGATGTTACAGTTACACAACTCAACATGAATGGTGGGAAGTACATGGAATCAGCACTTGTTTACTGCTCTAAACAGTGTGCAACTCTAAAGGGATGACGCGTAATAGCAGGCTAGCAGCAACTCTCAAGATTCAGATCTTGCATTCACAACAAAAAAAAGAAGATTCAGATCTTGTAGCATAACAATTCAGTGATCAACATGAAATATTCGAAATTATGAGTAGAACAATCAGATCATTAGTTTTTACTAACAAGAGCACTAAAGGCCTTCGACATTTGTCACATGATAAACTGAGAATAGTCAAACATGTCTCACAGGATAATCTGTGAACAGAAATCAGTGAAGCCTCAAGGTCCAGAATCAGGAAACCGCAAACTCATAATTAACCATTTGTTAACCGGTAAACTAACTAGCTAAAATAAGTTGCCACTTCATTTGACTAGTCAAAAGTAAGTGCTATGGCTTTCATATGTGGTGGTGGTGTCAACTGCTTGTCTATTCATCTTTCTCTAGCAAGGTTTCCATTCCCTTTGCTATAAGTACCTTTTTCCATCTACTATAAGCACCAAAAAACTCCATAAAATAGATTGGGTATATTTGATATTGACATACCAGGGGAATTGTATATTCACAGTTAGCAATTAGACATAGTCTTCCTGAACCAACAGCGCCTTCACCATAGCCTCGGACACTACCAAGTCCACCTATGGCAAAAGCTTGATATGGTGCCATGTCCCCCACAATGGATCCGCCTGTCAAACTGTGAGGTAGAGAGATATGAACCGTCAGAGAAGAGCTTTCTAGAGAATGAATACTAGGGGTAGGTATTACCTAGTAACCAAAAATGTCGGACCCAACTTAATGCCTTTTGAAACTGCACATTTAACTCTATTGAAGGTCAGTGACTTTGGTACAAGTGGCAATCCTTGTTCCATTTGGAAGTTAACCTACCAATAAGAGTTACTGTATAAGGTAGCCATTATGGTAGAAATAGCATCATAAAGTAGGCATAACTTACTTTTAAGAAGCTATTGTCATTGACATCTGCATAACCAGATTCTTGCTTCAAGATGATCATGTTGTCATGGAGGTTACCACTGCATGACAATTAACAAGAGTATTAATAAGCACTTTCAGCTACAATTTAAAGAAATCCCCAAAAAAATCATCACCTGCATGTCAGAGGAAAGCCATCTTGGTCTCTGGCAATGGAGTGGCCCTGATTATTAACAGGACGGATATGCTGTGGGAAAAAGGTAACAGATAAAGAACGTGTAGAACATGAAACTAACGATAATCAATTGAAATTAAGTTGAGGCCCACCTCAAATTTAACACTAGTTCCCGACGTCCAGTTTGATGTGGCTGGTTCATTAAGCTCCAAACCAAATGATAATCGACTAAGGTTTATCCCTCTGCTCCCTGATCGTGTGAAGTTATCAGCCGGGAATCCATGGACGGCAACTTCTGGTGTCATTGAGTGCTGATTGCTCAAAACATAGGAAAGTGAGAAAAAGTGTAAATTTGGTCAAAAGATTACAACAACAATAGGTTTCCAGTGCTTCAGCTTTACTTTAAATAAGAAACATAAAAGGATAACCAAGATACACAACGCAATGCCAACCTGAACTACAAATGATTGCTGTGATAACCACTCAGGCCTTGGGCGTCTATAGGCAACAACAACATTGGAGTCATTGATTCCTTTATCCAATATCACATCCAACTTCTCACTTCTCCCAAAGAGGTTTGGGTGTTTGAGAGAGATCCTGCAGGCCAAACTCTAGATTCACAACACAGTAGTAAAACTGTAGACAATAATGAAGACATACATATACACAGACTCACAGAAAGATGCATAGGCATGACGCCCAAATGCACAGATCTGGTATGGAGATAGTGTAGTAATCTGAAGTCGTGAACAGGCAAGACATTGATGTGCATGTGCAAGAACGTGCTAGGACAAGCATGTTCTAAGCACCAGGCATCAAAGGCATGCGCAAAGAGACAGGGAAACACCGGATGCTAAAGTACAAGGTGCCCTTGAACAAATTTACAGTGGATGCAAAACATACACACGCCTACCTTCCAACGATTTGCGATAAAGTGACGCCAGAGCTTCTGAAACCACCCAGAACAACAGCAGGTCAGGATTATACCCAAGAAAAACCAAGAAGGCACGCACACATCCATTAGAGTCCTCCCTAACAGGCAAAGTACCGAGCACCTGAGGGGCGGCAGCAGCAGCGCCTCGCACAGCATGTGGGTCAGGTCGACTTGCATATCCACCTTGGCTGCGGCATTTCCACGAACAGATGAGCGACCCCGCAAATTACCAACACGCGCAACAACAGTCACGAACAAAAAAAAAATCAAAAGGAAAGAGCAATGACCTTTCCCTGCGTTGACGCTCTGCTGAGCTCCCATGGCTGCGGGTGCGAGGAGGCACACCTCATGCGAGCTCGGGCACGACGGCGCTCCGCGCGGCGTGGCGAGGATTTGAGCGGGAGGTGCCGAGGCGGTGGGGCCGTGGGGGCCTTGGGTGCTTTGCGTGGGGCAGAGGGAGAAGTGAGGCTGTGAGAGTGGGATTGCTTCGGTGGGGTAACTAGCTGCGCCTGCGCGGCTTCCTTACGTTGTCGATGTGATTATTTTTTTTTCCGACAAAAAAAAACTACTGAAGCAACTCTAACAAATTCACTCTACGTGACCAGCAATAAAGGTAGCATCTCCTGCACATTAGCCAAAAAGACTAACAAAATTTATTGATTTAACTACTCTCTAAAATAGATTTGACAAAAAAAATACTAAAGTACTCCAACAGACTCTGTAAAATCAAGAGGTTGGATGGCTAGTGAGGTAAGCTTTCTAAAAGTAGATAGCGAATGAGGTGGGATAGAAAGCTACTAAAGTTGAAGAGTTATTTACAGCGTTGGAGACGTTTTTCTTTTAATAATGCTAAATTTATCTTTAGAAAACGATTTGGCTAATCCCTTGAAGATGCTCTAAGACCCGTTTTAGTGAGAGTTTCATGTAACACCATCGGTGATATACCCTAAATAAACCACTAAAGCATGTCATGAGTATCATGTTTATGTGATAAAGCATGTGATAAAGTGTGTAGATTAATTTCTTGTAACCTAAAATGACTAATAAAAATGTTAAATGAAAGTTGATTTAATAGCTCATATATATCAAGTAGGGTTGGAAACTAATTTTTATTAAGCAAAAATATCATAGAACATATATGTAGCACTTAAATAAAGTTTGGAGTATGGACTTTATAGATGACAATGAAATCCTCGCTGTTGAAAAATAACTTCGCTAGCTAATGTTTCTAATGACCTAGAAATACAACTTGGAATCAAGTTCAGCTCAAAGACATAATATTTTCAAGTTTATAGACAGCAAGACAATGTCATGTTTGGCAATTTATTTTGTGAAATCGAATTAAGGGATGGTGTTGTGTTTTAGCTTGGGTTGGTAGCCTCACATGCCATCCTGAGCATGGTGAAGATGGTTTATGTCCATAAGCAACCGTTTAGTCGTTATAGGCGCTTTAAAATTCGTGCAAGACATGATTTCGGGCTAGTTCACCGGGTGAGCGCGGTCACCACGTCTCGGGGGCGCGACGTCGCCACGCCGGCTCGCTCTGCGTGCACGCGCGCCTACCGCGTGTGGCCGACTGCTGAATACTCTGTCCTGGCCGCCACTGGCTCTACCGCGTGGAGCCGCTGCTGCCGCAGACGCCCGCCGCCAAGCCGCAGCCTCGTCTGCCTCGGCTGCGTTTGCCGCCCCATTTAATCACCATTGACGACATTGCGCGCCGCCATTGCCACCGTGTTAAGTTAAGCTGCGGGCGCCGCCATCGTCGTCCTTGGCATTGCCGCCGCGAGGTTGCTTTATCACCGTGGCGCTGCCGTTATACCGCTGCTTTGCTCATCTTGCCATTGCGCACACATGGGCTGTCCCACCGCACCGCCGACCCGCCTCGTGTCACGACGCTGTCGCTGCAGGCGTCGTCGCCTCACCATCATGTCCGTGCCTCCCTCTGCACCCCTACGTCGCTGCAAGCCCGATTCGATGTCACCGTTGTGGCAGAATCACCTAAAATAACACGCTTTTGGGGCGCTCGTCTTCCATTAGACACCAAGCACCTTGAAAGTGAGCTACATTGGACAGTTCCATCCAGCACACCCCAAGAGAGAACTCGAAACCATCCACGTTTTACATCCAGAATCCAATAATGAGTACGAGCTTACAATACTTAGTCCATTTCATACAATAAGAGTTCTTAGAAATTATTTATTACAATAACAGAGTTCAGAGTGCGATAATCAAACAGCGAAATGAAAATAAACATCTAGCGAAAACGATACAAAGATCCGTCTGTGCCCACCAGAAGAATCCTTCACACAAGAGCTACTCCTTAAGCTGCACCTGCAACAGGTGTAAAATAAACCCTGAGTACACAATATACTCACAAGACTTACCCGACTAGTGAGAATAGTTTTCTGACTCTCAAGGATATGATAGACAATATGGGTTTGTTGTTTTCTTTTTGTTTGCGAAAAGCATTACTAATAGTTCATCCTTACAGTCAAGTTTTATTAGCAGTCATGATTACTTCATTAGCTAACCATTCTAGGTAAGCACCCGTTCTACTTTCAAGCAAGGGTTGAGCCATCAGAACCATTTCACCATCTTTCATCTTCTAGTTCTTACTACGGTGCTAGACCATAGCCAAGTCATACCGTCTCACGAAAATGGCGATTCGCGAACCAATGTATTCCAGCTGGATACCCCAAAACACATGTCCTGTTTGTACCCTAGGCATAAACAAGACCAACCCATTTCACTCCTATCACGGGGTCTAGGTCCCCGTCCAAACTTAAACTCCAAGCCCCGCACTTGATTGTCACGGGGTCTAGGTCCACGGACACAACCTGTTACACCCACCAATACCCATACCATATCACTGCCCTATCTCTATTTTTTCTTTCATCATTTTATTATGAGAGTAATAGTAATCACCTATTGTGAGTAACGATAGGTTACTCACGCTACTGAAACCTAAGCATAGCAGCTACTCGAACCTACACTAGTAAGACTCTTAGGACAGTTATATCTATGCATGTGGTTTTCATAAAATTCATGTAACGTAAATGCACATCACATATATATATATATATATATATATATATATTCAGTGATTATAAAAAATAAGGGTTATGCACCGGGGCTTGCCTTGGGTAGGCGCGGTGTCAGCTGAGTCAGTCAGTGGTGGCTCTGGGACCTCCTCCTGCACGAGAATCTCCTCCTCGTACTCTTCAACAATCTTCTCGAACTCGTGATCGCCGATGGTCACGATCTTCACTAACTCGTTTCTACATGCATGCGATGAAGATACAACACTTACCATTTATGCAACATCAACTCTTAAAATAAGAATACGCATACTAAGCTACTAAGCTAGCTCTAATGACTAAAGTACTAAGCTAACTATCATCTTCACCAAGCAAAGTGTTGGGTTCAACTAACAAACCCTTAGCTTGGCAAATTAATGATATATCATTATTTCTACTAATGATTTAATATATATATAACAAAGAGCATTTAACTATCCTAATGTTTAGTCTATTCTAAGCTACACAAATTATAGTGAGCACATAATAATACCATGAAGCTACTATAAAATTTTCAGGACTAAAGCTATCATCAATTTACCATAAAAATTCCTACAATAATTAACTTAAGAATATCGAGCACTCTCAAATGATTTAATAGCTCCTGGTATCAACATGTACATATATGAACTAAATACACTAACAGATAGAGCACAATTTTAGGAACCTAACAAAATTTGTTTCACAATTTTTGGACACCTATATGATTTTATATGATTTACCAAAGATCAGCTCAAAAATTAAATTAGAAAACTATTTCTAATTCCTTAGGAAAAGAAAAACGAAACCTCCCGCGCGGGCCACACGCACGGCCAACGCGACACAGCGCGCGCGATCATGTGGCAGCCCGCAGGTGCGGCCCACGTGAGTCCGGCCCACGCGGAGACGGCCCGCGACTTGGAATCCCGCGCGCGTCGATGACTTTTGCAAAAGAGACCTCGAACTCCTCCCAATTTTCTCCTCTCACAGAACTTCTCACTTAACCCCCTGACCTTTCCCTAATTCACCCTCGCGCACCCCCGGCAACCCAGCGCATGGCGGTGCGGCGACCGGTGACACATCGTGGCTGCGCCAGCCACCTGGGACCTACGGTGGACCACCTAACGGGCCGATCACAATCTCCGACCCGAGCATCTACACTAAGCGGCAGTGCAGGGTGACATGACTTGCTGGGGAAGGCTACAGCGGCACACAGCCATCCGTGATGGCGGCGCCACTGTTCTGGTGAGCTAGGGTAAGCTACATGCCTAATTGGTTAGCACGCGAGCATAAGGAGGATACCAAGGACCTAGCCGAGGTGACGGTTGGGGCCAACGATGACGGAGGAGGGCTAGACACATGTGGCCGAGCCGTGCGGCGGCGCACCACGGTGGAACGGTCGCGTCAGCGATGACGGGAGGCGGTAGCGGTTTCTCAGGCGTGCGTAAGGTGGAGAGGGAGGTAAGGCAAAGCTAGTGGTGCAGGTGAATTGGCTTGGAAGGAACGATAGGAGGGCTGCCGACATCCATGGTCGGGCGCGGCCTTATTGGCACGGCGTCGGGAAAAACTCCAAATTGGAGCTTGGCCGTGCTCGCTTCAAGGTTGGGTGGGGGTCGGGGTTAGGTGGCTTAATGGAGAATCTAGGGACATGATGAATCGAGCGATGGTGACTCAACCATGCCAAATTAAACGGCCGGGGTCGTCCGGTCGTAATGTCAGAGAGGGAGGGGCGGTCTGGCTCGGCTCGTCCTCGCCTTGGTAGCAAACGGCCAGCTAAACCCGAGGCGACGTCTGTGCACCTGCTACATGACAACACGACCAAACCACGTGCGTGCGCGTGGATGCGGTGGGGGGCGCGGCATGCGTGGTCGTAGAGCCATTAAGGCGAGGCGACGGTGCGGGGAGCCAGGATAGCCCACGTGCGTGCTAGGACAAGGCAAGCAACAGCGCAACACAACGTCGCAGTGGCATCGGTAGTGGCAACGCGAGGTAGGGCAGCAGTGCGGATGCGACGATGAGGTGATGGCATTGGCAGCAGCTCCGTCATGGCGCGGGGCGGGGCAGGCGGCAGCAGCGGTGGCTCCGCACGACGGGGCCAGCGGCGGACGGGCCACATCCAGGCCAGAGCAGTTGTGGCCAGCCACGCGCGGTAGTGTGCGTGTGCGTGGGGCAGCTAGCATGGCGACGCCGAACGCCCGAGCGTGGTGACCGGGCCCACGCGGCCAACTAGCACGAAACTGTGTCGTGCATGAATTTTAAAGCGCC